CACCATCGGTCAGTTCAGTTTTGGTCAGTTCAGCATCGCGTCAAAGGTCAGTTTTGTAACGCCATCGGTCAGTTCAGTGTCGCGTCAAAGGTCAGTTTGTGACATCATCGGTCAGTTCAGTTTTGGTCAGTTAAGTATCGCGTCAAAGGTCAGTTTTGGTCAGTTCAGTGTCGTGTCTAAGGTCAGTTTGTGACATCATCGGTCAGTTCAGTTTTGTTCAGTTCAGTGTCGCGGTAAAGGTCATTTCTGCGACGCGATAACGTAAGACGCGATGCGGCGGTTGAGCGCGTCAGTAAAACAGTTCAGCGGCGCGCAGGGAGTTGCGCTGCAATTTATGAGCCGGACAGCGGGGATGGTGGGAGTTGGTCCGGACCTCGGGGCCTGAAACTCGGCAGACCGTTGTTACTGCAACCGGCTGTAACTTCAGCCGGCAGTGACTCCAGCCGGCAGTGACTCCAGCCGGCAGCGACTACAACCGGCAGTTAACCCAACCGACAGTGAACCCAACCGACAGTGAACCCAACCGACAGTGAACCTGTCTCTTATACACATCTAGATGTGTATAAGAGACAGGCACAGCGCTGGGTTGTCTGTACCATAGATCAAGACACAGCACAGCACGAGGTTGTCTGTACCATAGATCAAGACACAGCACAGCACGAGGTTGTCTGTACCATAGATCAAGGCACAGCACAGCACAGCGCAGGGTTATCTGTACCATAGATCAAGCCACAGCACAGCGCGGGGTTGCCTGTACCATAGATCAAGGCACTGTGCAGTCTGTACACAGCCCAACACAGCACGAGGTTGTCTGTACCATAGATCAAGCGACGTCTCGTCCAGCTCGTCTTATCTGTAATACAATCCCTGGCACAGATGCCAGCTTGAGAATATAGGGCGACTTTAGGGCAGGACTTAAAACGTCGTCAATGCAACGTTTTGGCGCGCTAATCCCGGCGTCACTGGACGCAATTTTACCGCCATGGGAACATGAGGTCCCTTTGATGGTATATTTGCTGGTAATACAGAAAACTGTATTTATATATCAGGAATGTTATATGATACAACAATATACTCGGGACAATTTTACAGCCACGACGTACTCGGGGGACCAACGGGATATTAAGTCCCTATCTCTAGGAGTTGAAGGTGCTATAGACAAATTATAAATGTCTGAAAAATTCGAAGCAACAACAATATCCTCGTAATTTTGAGCAATAGACCGCATGGAGTGCAACATTAACTGTTTTTAAATATTGATGGAAACGGAAAATTACGAAGATTGTTAACTAATTTTAATTACGCATTCTGCTGGACCCGTAAATAGAAGAGAGATTTCATCGCTTAATTTCGTTTTTGCCATGCAATTTTGTCAAATTCATCCTCGTATGCTGATCAAGTTATTTCCAATACAAGCTTTAGAAAAAAATTGAGCAACAAATAAGAATAGCACAACAATATAAGTATAGAGGTCAGCCTCAATGGAGGCTAAGAAAGCTTGCCTATATACTCTTATCTGGATAAGATAACGCTTGTCTATGCTATGGAGTTGCTACCAAGTTTCGTGAGACTCGAAGTGCTTCTTCAGTAGACGGGAACAAGCTTTAAACTTGCCGGAACAGCGGGAAAATCCCTAGCTTTTAGTGATGGTTTTTGTGTAAAACGAGTTTCAGTGCGCGAATCTCAAGAATTTTACGTTAATTTTGAAAATTTACACTTTACCTTTTAAAAAGCAGTAGATTGGTTATAATTTTTAGAATTTACAGTGGGATTATCCCTTTAATTAATGAAATATATGCTTTCTTAGAGTCAGCCTTACTGCTCAATCCGTCAAGAAGTCATGACATGAATTCTTTCAATTAATAATGAAATAATTAACTTTGTTATAACTAGAAGATACTTTCGACTCAATTAAAATTCCCGAGCCAGTTATAATCGTACTTTAACATTAATAAATGACACTTTCGCACTAAGTGACAACAAACTAAGGTTATTCATATTATTTTCAACGTATAATATCGATAGGTTCATGCGTCGTTCAAAGCGTTGACGTCACAGGCTCCGAAGCATTACGTTTATCTCAAGAGTACAGCGGCTGTACCGATAAAATAACTACGAGTTCGTAACTCAATCAGCCAATCACTGGCGGCTTTTGAAATTAAACCGCGAATCACAGACAATAAATCAGTCGCTACGTGAACTTAGGCCGCTACGTGTACTTAGGCCGCTACGTGTACTTAGGCCGCTACGTGTACCTGTCTCTTATACACATCTAGATGTGTATAAGAGACAGGTCTGTGCACAGCACAGCGCGGGGTTGTCTGCACCATAGATCAAGGCACTGTACAGTCTGCATATCACAGCACAGCGCGGGGTTGTCTGCACCATAGATCAAGGCACTGCGCAGTCTGTATACAGCACAGCACAGCGCAGGGTTGTCTGTGCCATAGATCAAGGCACTGCGCAGTCTGTATACAGCACAGCACAGCGCTGGGTTGTCTGTACCATAGATCAAGGCACTGCGCAGTCTGTACACAGCACAGCACAGCGCAGGGTTGTCTGTACCATAGATCAAGGCACAGCACAGCGCAGGGTTGTCTGTACCATAGATCAAGACACAGCACAGCAACTTAGGCCGCTACGTGCACTTAGGCCGCTACGTGCACTTAGGCTGCTACATGCACCTAAAATATTTTGATTGTACGGCCCCAGTACCTCAAGAACACGGTGGTCTCAAGTTTGCCACTTGGCAGGCGCCGCTGTCAGAGATAACTTCGTGTCAAAGCTTAAACTTTTCAATTTAATTTCAGATTAAACCGGTATTTTTAACGCATTTTCTCATTTATGAAAAAATGCACCATTGTGCTCGCCATGTCCGTCTGTCCGTCCGTCCGTCTGTCCGTTTGTCTGTCCGTCCGTGACTTTATGTTTTCGTCGACGAGAAAATGCGCTCTCTGTCACTCACTGCAGTGAGTACTGAGTTATATTTTATTTATTTTTCCGTTGATGTCATTAACGCTGAAATTGAAATTCAAATCCTTGTCACACTGATTTGACTCAAAATATAAGAAGAGAAAAGAAAAAAAGTAAAATGAACTAAAAACAATAAAAACACTAAATAAATAATATAGAAAATAATAATCTTATTACTTTTATCGTGAAGGCGCCATGAATCTGAATCCTTGAAAAAATTCTGATTTGTAGAACCATTATAATGTTTTTTTTTACATTAGTTCATATCAACCATAGTTCGACAATTCAAAACAACCATTGCTCAATAATTTATATCTATCACTGTTCAATAATTTAGAACATCTCATTCCAGAACATTTTTTACGCTTAAATTTAAGAGTTTCAGAAAATCCTGGATATTCGAGCGCTGGTTGCGCGGCGTTCGAGTACCGATAGTCAGAACCGAGGCTGCGTGGCAAGCAAGGAATTTAATGCATATTAAGGAGCATGGAAGTGTTTTGGGAGTTGCAAAAGATGTCGAGTTCATCGCCCTTCATTACCCAGGGAAATGATGACCAGAGCTGCATTCAAAACAACCTGGCAAAAAACAGGGTCTTGAGTTGAATTCACATGCAGTGCATCGAGTTGGCCTCGAGGGGTTGAGTTCGAAGACTCAATGGAAGAGGAATGAGATGTGAAGACTGAATGTAAGTACACTCCTCCATTCGCCACTGAGTGTAATGCTATACAATTATATATTCCCCGGCTCATCATGGAGTGTAATGCTATACAATCAGGCATTCCCCGGCTCACCATGGAGTACAATGCTATACAATCTGGCATTCCCCTGCTCATCACAGAGTGTAATGCTATACAGTTGTACTTTTCTCTGCCCAATTTCAGCATGCAATGTCATACGGTTAACACTATATGCTGCGCGTGGATTTATGCGTTCATGCACTGTCTGGTAAACATGGATGGAGAATATATAGCCTGTCTGTTTGAGGCCAGGTTTGTCAAGGAATTTTTGAAGCACGGTAGGCCCAGCTGTTCATGAAGAGGCCCGCGCGTTATCTTTGGCCCACAGGCTTCAGCAATGGGCCCATCAGAACGGCCTATCTGGAGGCTTATCGTTCAACAGACACTCCGGCAAAATTGCAAGGCCGGCAAGCCAGTGCAGTGATAGAGCAATCACAGCTACCTCCACTCCTGCTAGATTAAATACCGCTCCTTCCTGTACTTGTGAAACATAAAATCGGTGCAGAATGCAGTCCATATTTGGCGGCACAGTCTACCTATGCTGAGAATTTAGGTATGCTTTCCGGAATACTAAAAAATATAACTTAGTACTCACTGCAGTGAGTGACAGAGAGCGCATTTTCTCGTCGACGAAAACGTGAAGTCACGGATGGACAGACGGACGGACAGACGGATATGGCTGGCACAATAGTGCATTTATTCCATAAATGAGAAAATGCGCTAAAAATGGAGTACTCGAATGTCAACTATTTTATTTTAATGCTAAGCAATAGCTGGTGCTGTCATGTATGCTTAACCTGACAAACTTCTTTGCTACAGTTGAATGTTTCCATTTTAAGTAAGTTGTAAAACAAAAGCTCCCAAGCAGACTAAAGAGCATTATATGCTCGAATGATATAAAATGGTGTATATACCACACTCTATAATTTAATTGAATATTAAGCGAATTGAGGAAATTCTTTATCTTACAACAAAATCCCCTGGTCCGATCTTACGAACTGCAACACAAAAAAATCAGGAGGCCAATTAGGCTTTTGAATATTTGAATCGTATATTAATTGAACACTCTAGTTAAACCAACTACATGCATAACCTGGAATTATGTTCTACCAATAGCTTTTAACAAATCTGAATTGATCCAACATTGGATGGCATGAGCTGCTTTTGCAAGATCATTTACGAAAAAGTTTGTGACTGGCGCCGCCAGTAGGGCATTCCTGTGCAGAGCTTCAATGGATCCGCTCTGCAGAACATGGCAATGGTCGTTCGTTGGCATTGCTTTTGACATTATGTCGACTTGGGCGCAAAGCGATCGCACCGCCGCCGCTAAAAATTCTGTGACTGCTGCAGCTAGAACGGCTGCTGCTGCTACAAACGCTGTGGCCGCTGCAGCTAAAACGGCTGCTGCTGCTACAAATGCTGTAGTTGCTTTAGCTGAAACGGCTGATGTTGCTACAAATGCTGTGGCTGCTGCAGCTAGAACGGCTGCTGCTGCTACAAATGCTGTAGTTGCTTTAGCTGAAACGGCTGCCGTCGCTACAGATGCTGTGGCTGCTGCAGCTAAACCGGCTGCCGATGCTACATATGCTGCAGTTGCTTTAGCTACAACAGCTGATGTTGCTACAAATGCTGTGGCTGCTGCAGCTAAAACGGCTGATGTTGCAACAAGTGCTGTGGCTGCTGCAATAAAACGGCTGCCGTCGCTACAGATGCTGTGGCTGCTGCAGATAAAACGGCTGCCGTCGCTACATATGGTTTTGCTGCTGCAGTAAAACGGCTGCTGCTGCTACAAACGCTGTAGCTGCTGCAGCTAAAACGGCTGCTGCTGCTACAAACGCTGTGGCTGGGGCAGCTAAAACGGCCGCTGCCGCCACAACCGCTGTGGCTGCTGCAGCTAAAACGGCTGCTGCTGCTACAAACGCTGTGGCTGGGGCAGCTAAAACGGCTGCTGCTGCTACAAACGCTGTGGCTGGGGCAGCTAAAACGGCTGCTGCCGCTACAAATGCTGTGGCTGCTTTAGCTACAACGGCTCCGCTGTAACAGATATCAAAAATGCAGTGACTGAAACGGAGGCTACAGCTAAAATGCAGGGATTGCAGTGAATAAAACTGCTCCGCTTCTTCAACTGTTGTCGCTACTACAAATGCCGTGAATGAGCGGCTCCGCTGCAACAGTGGTTGCAAACTGCTACCGACTGTTGCTGCAATTGCTTGCAGCCGCTGCAACAAACGATGTAGCTTCTGCTGTAACTGCTTAGCCTCATCATTTAAATTCACTATTAGTGTGCGCCGTATTGTATAAATTTCACTGCATTGATCAAGAAGTTAAATAAGAAGATTCCCGAATGAGCGTAAACATTAAAATTGTCGGATATTATAATTATTATTATTGTGATTAGCAAATTGCGATAGTATTGTAATTAGATTCATTAAAACTCAGGTCATGAATGAAAGAAGAACGGAATAAATGTTCATATCATGGATGAATGAAGAATGCAATTAACATTCACATCAAAATTAACGATGAAGTTAAGATCGGTTAACGAACAACGAAGGATAAAAATAAAGTTCACACCACATATTATGGAAATTATAGGTTATCTCTGGTTGTAAGTTATAAAAATGATATTATCTTCAACTTCATTATTTAAGCCTGGAAATAAAATTTAAGTTCATCCTCCCTAGTGAAAAACTGATTGCAAAAAGTTTATTCGTAACGAAGAATAAGTGACCAATGTGCGTGCAATGTTAACAAAGTACAATCAATATAGAAAACCAGAAAATTAAATTAGGCTCTCGCAATAGATTATACTTCTTGTATTCTCTGAATTTTTGAACTGATAAAAATTTGGTCTCTGAAACGTTTTCAACGAACACATGCTGAATTTATTTGGCATGTTCGTTTAATTTCTGGTATGATGTATTAATAAAGTTTTAATCTTGGAATAAGGTAACCGTCTAATAAAATGATATGTAATTTTCTTCATCTCTCCAGTTCCTTGTATGATTATCATTAGATGATTATCATTTTATCTTAAATTTCTGAGTATGATGTATAAATAAACAGTTTTATCTTGGAATAAGGCAACCTCTAATAAAATATTATGTAATTTCTTCATCTCTATATGATGTGTTAACAAAGCTTTAATCTTGGAATAAGGCCCTTTGATAAAATAACATGTAATTTTCTTCATCTCTTCAGTTCCTAAGATGATTATCCAAACTATGAAACTACGAGAGTTGTTAAGCTGGCAAGCGGGCGGCTTTCTAATTGGCTTTCTTGTAGCAGCTGAAGACAATATCGCTGCTATCAGCAAAACGGCACAAGGAAGCCCATACGTCTTCTTTTTTTTCCTGGTCAACCTCTAACAGACACGGCTCCGTCGACCTAATCTGCAACTCGATTAGTTTTATTCTCGTCAACAAAGTTGGAATTGAATTCGGTAAACTGAAATTAGGTTAGGTTAACCAGCCAAAGAGGCCTTTGATAGCGTCCTATCTTCATGAGGGGGAGTGTGGGATATTTTAGTGGTTCCTTGATGATTTGTTATGAACAAGTTGAAATTTAACCAATTCTTAATAGTTATCAATAACTAGAACTCATTTTATTGTCACTTTTCCTAATTGTTATCAATAACTAGAACTTTATTTATTTATTGCCGTTATTTATTGTCTTTATTGTGATGTTTATTGTCGTTTGGTGCAATTTTAAAGTCTAAAAAATATTTATGAATAGAAGAATAAGATACATGTTTTACATGATTAATAAAGAACCTAGACAATGATAGGTTCATATCTAGCTAAAAATTGATCCGTGTCACGCATCAGGTTTATGGCGTAAAAAGTACCAAAATAGGAAATTGTTCGATATTCAACGGACTTTTCAAAGCTGCTAAAAACGACGAGGACTTTAAAAAATAAACTGGACGCTGAAGAAAGTTGATACATCGCAGCTGTATGTATAACTGGATGGTGAGGGAATTTAAAACAGAGCAGCTGTATAACCAATGAAGATAATACATCGCAGTTGCACAAGTGGATGATGAAAGACGTTAATTTCTTTGCAGCTGTATGACAAATGTAGTTAATACATCGCAGCCGTATTGCTGTATCACATCGCAGTAGTATGCAAGCGCACCAGACGAGAGATATTTTTCTCTCAGGGTCATTAGTTTTGTGAATTGCCGTCTAAACTAATGGTCGCAAAACCATCACCCATCATATTCCATGCTAGAGGAATATATATAGTATGTATAGAATAATTATAGTAGGTATAGAATGAGTATAGTAAGTATATAATAAGTATAGTATGTATAAAATAAGTATAGTATGTATAGAATAATCAAAGTACCGGGTATGTATATTATAAGTATAGTATGTAGAATTCCTGAGAATTGCGTCATGTGAAGAAAAGTAGGACTCTTAAAAATTTAATAGCTAAGAAAATGCATCAAAATGTAGATTTTAGATGATAACAAATTAATCATGTTTTCATCAAAAATGTAAGTAAATTTTGTGGCATTGCCACTGATACTTATTCTGATACTTATTGCATAATTGATATGCAATTAACGTAATCATTCGACATAAATTTCAGTCATATTTAAATTCGTTATAAACAAATATTTTGTTCATATCCGACAACAGACGCTCCAGGTCATAAATACTCTAATTTTAATCATAATTGATGATACTGAAAGCCATAACACGTACCGCAACGTTACGAAAAAAAAATCGTCTAGTCGCTATTTATTGAATATCTTATGATTTAATCGACGGTAAAATGGGAATAGCAATGTCGTAAAATTACTAGATTGCTCAAGTCGCAAGTTTACCAGGAATTTAAAAGCAAATAAAACAGCCAGAATATTAACCATTTCTTAAGAATGAAAACGTTTCGGAGTCCAGCTCCATCGTCAGTTCAAAAGTTCAAAACCTATAAGAAACTTAGAAACAATTAGAAATCTAAATTCACATCGAAGATAAAAACATAAATTGACAAAAAACAAATACACATAAGGAGACAGGCCTATCTATTTACAATTTCAAGGGGATATGAGCTGAAGGCCGCATTTAAACCAGGTTTCTGTTTAAAAATATACAGGGATTCTAAAATCCGTAGGTCATTAACACCGGTAGTGTAAGCTAGAACTCTGAAATCACTATCGGACACCGGAACATTGCACTGCTCGGCATGGACGCGCACAGCTGAATGAGGAGGATGCGCAAGTAATGTTCCCGTTCTAAAACTTCTGCCCTTATGCTCCGCCAGCCTAGTGTAAAAATTGCGAGACGTCATACCGACGTACGCTGATGCGCACTGCGCACAACTGTTTACTAGGGACGAACGCATAAAAAGAGGAAGAGCATCTTTCTACTTGAAGAACGAACCGATTTTGAAGTTATTCACCAATACCACCTGCAGTTTTACATTCGGAAGAGATTTATTGATCAAATCCTTCAATTCCTTAGCCATGGTCTCAGATGCTTTACCGAAGTAGGGAAAAGAACAATAAATCAGGTTCCTACTGTCACAATCGGGAACAACTTCATTATATTGCCTTGACATGAATTTCTTAATTTGAGTATAAATCAGCTGCGACGGAAACCCGTTTAAAGAAAAGATGCCGCGCAAAACTCCGAAACGTTTTCATTCTTAGGAAATGGTTAATATTCTGGCTGTTTTCTTTGCTTTTAAATTCCTGGCTATGTCGTAAGAAATGCACGTTCGTAAATAATGAGTTGAAGCTACGTAAATAAAAGTCAAATCTTGAACACCACGGTATCATTTAATGATTAAATTTCAACAAGTGTAAGAAATATGTCGCATGTACGTTCATATAAATTATATTTTCGTGCATTTAAGTTGTGTATAAAACCTTAGTGGCCGAATGGAAAAGATCGCCAAAATTGTAGCAAAGAGTTCGGTGTTCGAAACCCGCGACAACTTGTGAAAGTTCTTTTAAAAATTGGCAAGATGGCCGGGTAGTTAAGAATCGGCGTCAGGTCAGCATGGCCTAATCAAATCTAACACTATTATATTATTATATTTAAATATACAATCTGCAATAACTTAAAGCATACACAACTTCTACATTCTGCACTCATAAAGGTTCATTTCGGAAAACTTCGCAAGTTCCGGAAAAACATCTATGAAAAATTCGCTCATCGGCGATGCAAGTTCGATGCACTTGTGCACTCTGATGCACCCGTAATTTGAACTCATTAAGAGTAGAATGATTCTCTGCACTCTTCTGTACCTGAAATGTGCATCTGTAAAGAGTAGAGTGCTTTTGTACACTTTGCTTCACCAGTAAAGTGCACCCGAAAAGAGTAGCGTGCTTTTGTACACTCTGTTGCACCCGTAATGTGCACCTCACCCGTAAAGAGTAGAGTACGTGCTACTGTAAACTCTGCTGCACCCGTAAAGAGTAGAGTGCTTCTGTACACTCTGCTGCATCCGTAAAGAGTAGAGTGCTTCTGTACACTCGGCTGCACCCGTATATAGTAGAGTGCTTCTGTACACTCTGCTGCACCCGTATATAGTAGAGTGCTTCTGTACACTCGGCTGCACCCGTATATAGTAGAGTGCTTCTGTACACTCGGCTGCACCCGTATATAGTAGAGTGCTTCTGTACACTCTGCTGCACCCGTATATAGTAGAGTGCTTCTGTACACTCGGCTGCACCCGTATATAGTAGAGTGCTTCTGTACACTCGGCTGCACCCGTATATAGTAGAGTGCTTCTGTACACTCTGCTGCACCCGTAAAGA